GGAGGGAGGGGTGCTAGATAATGTAGTACAAGGACAAGAAAATAAAAGAACAAAACCAGCGTGCACACAGATAAAGTCAAACATGCTAAAAGAAACAATATCAAGCAATTCAATGGCATAAATAAAATTTCCATAATAAAAGAATTTTGAATCCTAAGAATATCACCAAAACAATGAAAATGGATGTTTCTATGGAAACTCCAGCAAAAAATCATTGTCAACAAGGTTGTCCAAAGTAAAAATAATAAGAGGCATTAAGGTATGTACCACCCAATTCCTATATATTTACATAACTAACACATAAGTTTTAATTTTTAACATTTATAACACCCAACTCTCTCATATCACATAAAAAAATACCACCATTTTAACTTCTAAAAAGTGTTACACCTTTTCATGCATTGGAAAGGCGGTATTTACGTAAAAATTGAAGTGTGGGAGTTAGATATGTAAATACATAAGAATTAAGTGGTATGCATGTAAATCTTCCAAATAATAATCATGTTTAAAAACAAGTACTCCAAATCTAACAAAAAAAAAGCTCATCATATCAACTTCGTCACATGCACTAAGAAAACAGAAGCTATGCTTTTCCATTTAAAGAGGAGATAATTATACTTAAGCACAAATTATATTAAACATTTAGAAAGGAGAAAATTTGAAAATGTCAGAAACATACCACTGATCAGACAGAGTTGGTCTGATGAAAGCATAGTAATGTCCACCATGAACACCACCACTATGCACAAGAACACTGAAACCACAAATAACAGCAAGAGAATCATTTTGTGCATGAGAAAACATAGAACTTCGAAAATTACAGTTTCACTGTATGAAAATACGTAAATGTCCTATTTTTTCAGCATAAAAACTGCCAGCATGCTGACTCATTGGGTTGATCTAATGGGTCACCATTAATACCCGACAAGTCTCATAAATACCAAAAAAGTTTCATAGAATTCTATTTTAAGCTATAAGACCTTAGCTCTTTGTAAAAAAAAAAAATTTTTCTTACTATAATCATCCCAAATATAAAAAAGGTACCAATTACAGACAAATTTTCAAAAAATTCTGATTTAATCCATTTCATTATCGCTATAGATACATGATGATTGTAACAAAAATAATGTGAGAACAGTTACATGTAAGCCCCTGACAAAGATATCAAATCACAAGAAGAACACAACGAACGAAAATTAGGAGTAAAGCAATATGAGAGACATCAGTAGAGGTGTAAACGAGTCGAGTCAAGCTCGAGCCACCCTTGGCTGGCGCTTGAGCTTGAGCTTGATTAATTTTTTAGCTCGAGTTTAGGTCTTCGAGTTTGAGCCGGCTTGCAGAACCCTGGAGTTCAGTAATAGCTAAAGGGCAGTGAAATGAACATAGGATTGACACAAATAAGGAGGAGTATCTACAAGCATAGCACCCAATTCTTATATACTTGCATATCTAACACCTAAACTCTAATTTTTACATTTATACCATCCAAATCTTTCATATCACACCAAAAATGCCACCATTTCAACTTTTAAAAAATGTAATGCACCTTTTCATCCATAGGGAAGGTGGCATGTATGTAGAAATTGAATTTTAGGTGTTAGATATGTAAATACATAAAAATTGAGTGGCATGGATGCAATTCTTCTGAATAAGAAAGGGAAGTTTAGCATATTAATTGAATAATAACCCAAGCATGACAGAAATCTATATGTAACTCAAAAATATGTAGTGAAACCTTCCAAACAAAGGCTATATAATCACACATTTGCAGTCAGCACAACTAATTGGCAAACAAACGGAGACACATAATAATTTAAGGCAGTGAAGAGCAAACGAAAAAATCAATTAAATCCAGAAATAAATAAGGCGAGAAAATAGTAAAATGAAGTTAAAATGTGTATATAAAATAGGGATGTTACATATGTAGCAAGCAATTCTAATGTATTTACATATCTTTCACCTAAACTTTCATATTTACATACATAGCATTTTGTTACATAGCATTTTTTTTGTGTTCTAAACCTATGCATGAAAATGCGTATTTGACTTTTAAAAACTGGTAATAGTGTAAATTTTTATGTGAAGTCAAAGAATTGAGTGAAATGTGTATAAATAATAAAGTTTAGGTGGGAGCCCCTGTAAAATAAAAAAGGAGATTAGAAAATACCTATGGAGAGTATAAAGGTTGCGGACACTATGGTCAGCATCAGGAGAAAGATACTTCCTGTTATCTCTATCAAGGTTTAGTTGCAAAGGAAACTCGTACCGATCATTTATCTGTGCTCCATGTATCATCAGATTAAAATAAGGAACTTCAAAACTGGTTCTAAAATCAAGCGCCTGATGAACAGGTCTAATTATGCAACTGTAATAAAGAAACAAACTGTAAAATACATAGTGAAAACCAACCTTCACCATTGTATCACGCATGTAGTCATATTCGAAGCGTTTTAGTTGGAGTTGCAACACAGGAGGGAAGTCCAGAAAAAGTGCACCTTTCTTTGCATCCTGGAGGTAAACAAATAAAAATTATAACTAGCCATCATAAAAATAGTTTAAGGTATGCTTCTTACGGGTTGTAAATAGGAAGAAAATAAAATTTTGAAAATGAAAAAAAGATTAAAAAGGTGGGCAAAGTTAAAAATCAATTTTTTGGTTCAATGGAAGTAACATCATATAGTACGTCAGAGACTAAAGACACAAAAGATTAAAGTCACAACTTCTAGCACCATATACAAGATATGAAAATAAAAAACAACTAAAAAATCATAATAAGATGACCAGGAACAATGGCTGAAAATTGGAAATAACAGAAAATTCCGATAAATTTATGCAAATATTACACAAAATAGATAACCTGTATCAAGGCATGATAAAGAACCCAAGCCAACAAACTCAAAAAAATGATTATAATAACATCCAAAAATTCAAATCCATCCCAAAAACAAATAGAAAAGAGCCAAAAAAATTAAAACAATTTGTATCTATAGAAATGTAGGAAACTGCATAATTTTGATGTCATTCCAAAAGAAGAGAAAAAAGAAATGACATATAATTATGACCAAAAGGTCCAAAAACTAATTATGTCATTTCCAAAAGAAGAGAAAAGAGACATGACATATTCTTATTACTATAACTAAAAAAAAATTATCAAATTACAAAACTAGCAGGAAAAAAATCAACCTGTGCAAATACAAACAAACCTGTAAACCATATTGTTCAGCATGGTATTTGTTATCTCCTTCAAGCCGCTCCACTTCAACATATTTATCAAAAGAAGCATACACATCCTTGCAACCTTTTACATCTAGCTGAAGATCTGAACAAAAAATCATTTGAATGATCAAAATAAAAAAACAAGGGCCTAGATTAGAACTTCAAAAAATTTGAGATTCAATTCATAGATAAATACCATAAAATGATTCCTTTCTACTTGACTTGTAATCAACATTGATGCATTCAATAAAGTTCATATGATGTCCCTCAAAAAGTTGTTGAATCGCTCCTTCCACGACAGTTCCCTATCACACAAATACATAGAAACTCAAGGTAATCAAGGAAATTTACATGCATACCACTCAATTCTTATGTTCTTACATATCTAACACCTAAATTTCAATTTTTACATGCATGCTACCTTACCTATGCATGAAAAGGTGTATTTTACATTTTAAAAGTTAAAAAGATGGTATTTCTATGTGATATAAAACAGGTGGGTGGTACAAAATATAAATGCAAAAAAGCAAAGTTTAGATGTGAAATATGTAACTACATAGGAATTGGATGGTATGTACGTAACTGGCCCTACTTAAAGACCAGTTAAACCCATAAAGTCAAAAATTGTAAATGATGAAAAACCTTCATTTTGTCTTCTAACTTCTCACAAAGAACTCGGTTGAGTTCTTGCACATCGTGTTGCATAAAAGAATCGTACATGTCCCATCCAAACGACTTCGTCAGCTCTTTCGTGGCGACACTGCTGTCACTATATTGAAGTTTATAAAATAAGCTTTGCAGTGCCAATGGAATGCTTGCTGAAGGAATATCAAACTCAGTCGTCGGCATATGGTACACCGCCTGAAGAGCACGAATCATATAAGTAAAATTTCTCAAACAACAAAAGAAATATGAACGAACAAGGAGGACTGAAAGAAGTAATACCTTCCTGAAATAGGGAATATGGTACAAAGTTTGAAGAAGAGAGTTCATGTAGCACGTAGCGCCTTGATTCTTAAGTCCGACATAACCCGTTTCTTTTTTTGAATCATAATTCCAATAGTCAACCACTCTCCTGACGGCAACCTCAGCCTCAATTACACATGTGTCGTTCACAAGGTATCCTTTAATCGGATCATACAGATCTCCAAGAGGCATAAATGAAGTGAAACCCCAATCACTTTCTCGAGCATTAAATTGGTGTTGTGTGTCTTCAAGAATGGCGAAGATACTATGTTAGCAAAAAGCTAAAATTGTGAATTTGTCATCAAAACTACAATGTTTTAAAAATGATTGAATACTTTGGCATTTTTAAAAGCATGAACAAATGGAAAATCATACTATATGAACTCCATGACATTAATTTGAAATCAAAACATGATTTTGTAACACAAACCTTTGCAATAATTGCATTGTAGCAAACTATAATAAATGGAATCCTAAAAAGTTGTGCATGCTCAACTATAAGATGCATAGTGATATATATATATATATATATATATATATATATATATATAT